AAAAAAAACTCAATGCTTTAGCCACTTGTGCCTAGTATATACCCAATGATATTTAAGCTGATATCACATATGGCACCGAGAACCGAACATGCCAATCGACCGTCAAGACAGACCAGTTCGTTGGATGATCGGTTGGCTCGTTGGTTGCTTAATTGTAATTGTCCGTCCATTTAAATATGTGTGGTTCTCTAGTTCATTGGTTGGCTTGTCACAGTGTTTGAGTAAAGTTTTTCACAAATTCCACAATCGCATTTAGTAGCAATTTTGCTGAGCGCTGTTGAAGCGGTTTTGTGACGGCGCTTTGTATGTTTGATAACACATACCGCGAAAATGAGATTTTATTATTTTTGCTATAACAAATAACTAAGTAAATACATACTCGTATCATTGGTAATCGCATTAAAAATATTATTACGCGGAACTTTCGCTGTCGTAAAATGTCTTTAAAACCAATTGTGTACACAATCATAAAAAGTGTGTGTTCATCAAAAAGACGGAAGCAAGGAGATTAATATCGGGCGTGAAGTGAATTCAGAGAAGAGCGCACGGGGAATTGGTGCTATAAATACTTAATTTTTTAGTGACGTCACAATGGGTGTACTTGCTCGTGTGGTTTATTAGTCACGATGGCCAAAGCGACTTTATAGTAATACGAAATGGCACATTCTCGACTCTAGTTAACTCAGTGAGATAAAGAAAATTAGTAAACAAAGAACCGTGCAAGCGAAAAGAACGCCTGCACAAGAACCCTGAACTACAAACTGAAGCAATGTGAACCAGAATATATTGTCGGGTGTTGGCTGGTGGTATAGCATAACCTGGGTTCCAATTAGAGCGTGGAACGTCTTTTTGAAACTATTTTACCCAGAAGAGTTTGATGTTAGCCGTCGTCACGAACTGGTTTTGTCCTCAAACCGTTTGGCATTAGGGTTGTTGTTGTAGCGGCTACTCACCTCTGCCAAGCTGGTCAAGCTAAACTAAGGGGAGACCCAGGAAATATGCCACTCGAACTGGGTGGGGTTTAGGGAGCATGCGAAGCGGTTTTGCGAGTCGTGAGGTAATTATTCACACGTCGGGCACTCATTAGGCACATTTGCATTTATCCTACTCATATAGAAGTTTAGCCTGCTGCAGTATCCACAGCGAAGTTGAGCTATGGTGGTGCGAGTCTCCCGAGGCAGACTAAGTTCTGTCTCGTTCACGTCAACGGTATTAACAGGTCGGAAGTTGGTGTAAGTCTAGACCGATGCCCTATGTTTATGTCCTATCGGTACGCAGTTGGCTCCAGAAGTTGCTTTATGAACCTCTTCACTTCGCCCGTTAATTCGTATAGATCCTTCTTATGTACCTAGGCGAGGGCTCTGCGGAAAGTCGGTGTCTGTTCGGGTGTCCACGTCTGTGGAACACTACTAAGAATTGCTTATAAAGCATTGTATTGCGCTCCTGGACAGGAAGCATTTCAGCCTCGTCGTGTAGGTGGCGCTGTGGTGATATCAGAAGGCATCCCGTAGCGTTTCGGAGTGCCTTATTTTGGCAGATCTGAAGCTTCATCTACTACGTCCTACTAATCCCCGGCGGCCAATTGTCTTATATGTTTGCCCCAGGTGCTGCCGGCTAGCGACTTGAGAACCTTGTTGCGGCTCTATATTCTATTGAGAATTGCGGTTGAGTGCGCCGAGAAGAAGTGTAGACTATCGAAGGAAGCTCCGAGTATTTTTAGGTTATTCACCGTCCAAATTATTTCGCCATCGACGTGAATTCCCAGCTGTAATCTGACCTTCTTGGTCTAGCGGTGGTAAAAATGGTTTGCGAGGACTTCGTAGGCGAGAGGGTTAGGCTCCTTGCAGTGAAGAAGCGAGAAAGTTCGAAGAAGCAACCGTTTACTTTCGAGCACAAGTCATCAATTCAAACCCTGGAACAGAAACCTACACCTGCTACTTATGCCAAATGCGATTTGGATTTATCGATCACTTTGCTTGAGTTGTATATAGAACGATTGGGAGTTTCCTCAATGGATCGCATGTGGTGACATTCCAGCTAATTTTTCGGCTATGCGCCATAGTTGGAGCACTATTCGGATTGACGCTCCAGTTTAAGTTTGCTTGTCGCTCTTTTCCACAAAAGCCTATAGGGCCGAGAACTCAAACCAGTAGTCAGCTAATTAGCCAACCCAGTCATTGACAGTTCTTGATTGTTTTGGAGTTTGTCATCGCTGACGCCAGCGGCAAGAGTGCTGCTGTAACATCTAAAAAGATGCTGAAGGTGGAAATGGAGTACTCATACCTTGTTCTGCCATTTTTAGGTCTCTTCTACAAGAAAATTTCAACAGGAAGGATTTACTCTGCTTCTTTCTGTAGCCTACAAGCTTGTCAGCCAAAATTAGTTCGGTATTTATCGAGTTTAGACTGGACATCCTTAAGTCAATCCGACACCTTGCTTGGCATTGAACGGCTCGGAGAGGTTCCGACGGAGCTGTTGTATTGCTCGACGTCGTTTTACACAGCCGTATTAGTCTCGCAAGGAGCTCGAATTCGGATGTCACGGCGTCTGTTGTGATTGCAGCTTTTCGACGTTAAGCTTTCCTTGGTAGTTCTGAGGCGATATTTGGCCCTCGGAGTGTACGTACGTCTAAAACACTAAAACCATATCAAGACATGATCGATTTGGTTTCTCGTTTTTCGATCTGAAGACGGCCATGTAGCATGATGGATCTCTTTGTCATCAATCAGCCGGGAAGAGGCACCTTACGCCTTTAGATTCTGGACATTCCAGATGAATCCCCTCAAATCATAGTCCGATAAAAATTTCTTTCTTGGAGTTGGTACTCGGACCAGAGATCAATATTTGGTCCTACCGGCCCGCTAAGACTAGAATTATACCACTTGCGAAATGACCTATTATTTTTTTTTTTTTGATATACCGCCGTATCTAGAGAACTCTATTCTCTATGATATGCGAGGATAGACTGGTTTGAAGTCCGCCAAATACAAACCACGTATGAGGTGGCACAGACAAAAATTTAATTCAGTCAACGCGACGACATGTTTTCAATCGTCAACAAATCAGGCATTTCAAATGCAAATATTTGTACATATGTACTCCATTATATCTGCGTACACTTTTTTTAAATATTCACAATGTTTTGCAAGAAATAATTTTTTTGTTGTTTTTGTACAAAAATATGGTTCATTAAATTTTAGACATTTCACCCAGGTTTTCTAAAAAAATTTCTGGTACATATGCAGTTTTATAGTCCTTAATTTTCCTTAATTTTTTATACAGTTTGAAATGTTGATTTATTTGGCTTTGTGTATACCATAAACCATATTTTTGTAAAAAAAAATAACAAAAACAAAGTATAGCTTGCAAAACATTGGGAATATTAAAAAAAAAAACGAGGGTGTACGCAGACATAGTGGCTTGAGTGTATATCAAATCAGGCGTGCCCTCCGTGCACATGCATACTTACCACCACCCGCTAGAACGCACGTTCGATGGCTTTTCTAAAGCAGGGATCACCGATTTGTACATGTTGACAGTTACAGAGTGGGGTTCTTACGATTTTTGTTTTATTGGGCTGAACTCATTTTCGTTAAAAATTTCTAGATAAAGTGTTTAATTTAATTAACACGGTGTGTAAATTTGCATTCATTAAGAGAGGAAACTGGTTACCTATCTCAATATGCGCAAATTTAAAAAAAAATTTTTTTTAGAGTGTTCGTAGTGGAAACTTCCCAACTCACTGCCATACCTAAACAAAAGCGTTGGGCGGGGCGTTTTCTGACACCTAGCGTTAACGCCGAAGTGCCATACCAAAACAAAAGCGTCAACGCTACGCCAAATGTTTGTAACACGAAAATGACAGTTTCGCCGTTTTCTGCAGCCAACTTCAATACCTAATGCCATGGCAAAATCTGATTTTCCAACAGCTCAGCGTTGACGCCGCGTTGTTTCGTTATGCTTCATACAAATTGTATGGTCATGAGAATTTTTTGACAGCCAGACAACGCTGACGCTTTTGTTTAGGTATGGCAGTAAGAGAGTTCATGGTGAAGCGTCTTGATCGAAACCAAAATGAAGGGTTAAAAATTAACTGAACTTCTAAATAAATCAATTAGCATTCTCCTCAACAGAGACTCACTAAATATTGTATACATTAGGGTGGCCAAAAATGCATGTAAAAAAGTAAAGTCGGAATTTTTAGGATTGTTCTATACCGACAAATATACCCCTATTTTATTATTTTTAAATAAAAAAATATTTAGAGGTCGCTAAAGGCGCTCAAAGTTTTCTTCGTATTTTATATGGAAGAACACGACTTTTCGTAGAAATGGTATATGGCATTCGTGAAAATCAATATTTTTCAACCGGAAAGCTCTGTTTATCTTGAGGAGATTCCCAATACTAATACCCAATTGTTTATTTAATCTTTTTTCTATAGTAACTATATTTTATAGATCCGCCAGAAACCCAAAAAATGCAAAGGGAGACCAATAAAAAAACCTTTAGTATTAACAAATGGTTAAATACACAATTGGGTATTATTATTGTAAGTATCCAGAAGAGAACCAGAGTTTTACGATCGAAAAATTGTATTTTCAAGAATTCTATACCATTTCCATGAAAAGTGGTTTATTCCCCATGAAATACATGGACAGCTTTGAGCGCTTTGATCGCCCTCTAAATATTTTTTGATTTCAAAATAAAAAAGCGGTATAGTTTTTTCGGTATGGAACAATCCTATGGGGTGAGAGTATTAAAATTCCACTTTGCTTTTTTTTGGACCACCCTAATGTACATACATATGTAAAGTTTTACAAATACAAAGAACAAAACTTAAGATTTTATACAAAATAAAACCCAAGAAAGTGAAAAATAAAAATACACCGTCAGTTTGCGAATCGCAAGAGCTAATTTAGAACAAACAAATAAAAACCTGTATCAAAAAATAACTGCAACTCTTAGTACGGTACGCCCACTAGAGATTAATTAAAATTCATAATTGTCCGTGCCGGAAATACTTTACAGATTGTATGTAAAAGTACAAACAAAATGAAATTGTTATTGAAAGTAAATTCAGAAAAGGCTCGCAAACGATTTGGCATCCCAGCGAATTTGCAAACCTCATCAGCGAATGCAACGGCTGTCGCAATAAAACGTTAGTACTTACATACTTATTTGTGTACATATTCATTTTTTTTGCTTATTATTTGTTAGTGAGTAATGTTTTTAGTAATAAAAAATAATGACTGGGCAGCTCTAAGTAAATGTTGTTATAAAGCGAAAATAAACATGTTTTAGGGCTTTTGCTATCTGTAGAGATTTAATTATTTAGTTAATTTTATTTTTGTTATTTAAATTGACCTTACACACAGAGTTTGAAACTACTGTACATGCGCATGTATTATGTGTGCGTATTTATGTATTATTTTTACACAAATAAATTATTTATATTCAAAGGGACCGAGAATTTAAATTATGCATTTTTTCACAACCGGTTTCGGAGGCTTAGATCAAAATATGCCTACGAAACTACTACAAGTGACTGGCAGTAGTAGAAATAAATTATTATTTCCTTTTTTATTTTATACATATTTATGAGTTCTACTATATGTAAAAAATAGTATATCTTATTGTACTATTTAATTACTTTTGAATAAATTCAAATTGAATTACAATTGAAAATGAGTTCCAATTGATTGGTAATTTAGCATCTTTGATCGGGAATCAACGTCTAGTTTTTGAAAGACCATTTGAACATAGTATAAGTACCCAAAACCTTGCACGTCTATATTAGGGTTGGTTGATTAGTTTAAGTGGATTGTCACCCTGTTGGCAAGCAATTGACAAGTTTGCCATTTTGATTCTGCAACTCGTGCAACCTACATACAGTCATGTGGCGGCTTTAACAAATTTCGGTACATACGGATGGTTTGCCGAGTGTCTTTAGCTTAATCCTTGGGAGGGCTGGGCACTCGCACAGGAAGTGTTTGACTCTCTCTTTTGAGTCCGGGTCATCGCAACTGCACCAGAACCTATTAAAGGGCAGTCCTATCCTTTCGGCTTTTAGGCATTTTTTTGCTCATTCCGAAGAGAGATTTGGTTTTATGTGGTTTGTAGGACACCCAGAACTGCTGGGTAATCTTGTAAGATCCACATCTGCTTGGCCTTCGAGTAATACATTTTGGTAATTTTTCTCTTTATCTCCCTGAGCGAGGCGCCCATGTCCACCGCGCGGGACACATTCAGTGCAGAGCCGCTCCTTGCTAGTTTGCCCGCTGCTTCGTTTCCGTAAATTTACCTATGTGTGAAATATAGGCGAGTTCTCTCCTACATTCATTGATATCTAACAGAGGTAGAACCCTGAATGGCCACTTGGCTATCCGAGAGGGTAATCACCTGCGTTCTCTCCGGTACATTCTCTTTGATGTACCTTACTGCCTTCTTAACCGCAAACGTTTCAGCTTGTAAAACGTTTGCTTAGTCTGGTAGGCGGCGGGATAGCTTTAGGTTATATTGCTCAATCAAAACCCCTACATCAATTCCTCATTCTGGTGGTCTAGTCTATTTCCATATTGCGAGACTTGGCGCAAGGAATGTAAAATTTGGCTTGTGGAATTTCCGTTAACGCCACTAGTTTGCTGGGTGCCGAAGAGTCGAGGCTCAGCATTCTCTTCTTTGGCAGCCATAGTTAGGTCATTCGAGCTGAAATGAGTTCAAATACATTTGTTGATATAATAAGAAGTGATTGGCGCTCCCAGATATGTTAGTGTTTGGCTGAGTTTCTCCTCCGATTTTTGGCGTGCGCCTTGATGTTGTCACATGACGGTAGAATGAAACACCCAGGCGACCATTGAACACATGACAGAACTCACCCTTGCTCCGCGGGATATCCAGGGAGGAACCAGAGTAGCCGTGATCCATACATACATATACATGGTATTCTCTGCTCAAACTTCCATCACGACTGTACTCCCGGCAGCAGCGATAACACTCGTCTGTTATCGTCGCATTCTGAGAGAAAATTAGAATAGGGAGAAAGGAGCATAGCCACCAGACTCTCGCATTCAACCAGGGGCCACTGGCTTCAATGGACATTAACTCCGTGTTCGGTTGAGAAGTACAGCAGAAGGAGCCCTGCCGGCAACCACAGCAGTCATTTGCTTTTTCTTCTTTTCTGAGTAAACGAAGCCCATTTCTGGGCGATTTTTGGCAGGGTAGTATTTCCCATATTCTAAGTAATTTTTTCAAATCGAATAATAATATGACTTTTGAATTACTGGGGACCGTAAACACCGAAATTGTTTCCCAGCTCCTTAGTCGTGCTGCAGCTTTTCTGTGCCACTGCATAGCCCAGATTCACAGCAATGAACTCCCGTTTCGCGTGAACATTTGATTAGTTAATTTTAGAGTTACATAAATATTATTGCTCCTTATTCCATACTTAGATTTTCGCAAATGATTTATTCTTCTAAGGAAACAGCACCATCTAATTTTACGCAATATTTTCTTTTTAGGAATCAATCAAAACCGCACTACTGAAAATACTTCCATTTTACAAAAACTATCAACGTCTTCCAAACTTTTAATATTGCTCATTGTTGTGGTAGTAATTGTAGCTGGAGTAATTATTTACATTGAGATAGAACAAAACAATAGAAAGCCAGATCCCGGACCCATACTGTTCGGCAATAGCTATGAGCATGGCACGTGTAAGTATTTTGAAAGAGTTCGAAGACAAAAGAAATATGCAAACTTCAATACGATTACTAATATTTGTACATTAGGGTGCAACACTATATATACAAAAAAAATCAGTACTGTTTTTTCCATCGCAAAAATCGTTCGATAAAAATTTAAGATTTGCATGAACTGAACCGATTTGAATATACTTACCTCCAAAAATCGAATTTTTTATAAACAACTAAAATAAGTTTTAAAAAGAATTTTTTTTTCGGAAACATCACCTCAGATGATATAAAAGTTTAATTTTAAAATATTTGCATAAAAATGTTTAACAAATTTATTAACGTCATCAAAATAATGAGATTTTTGCTAGTATTTTTAAATCGGTACAGCGCACGTAAATCTCAATATTTTTCCGAAATAATTTCAAATAAAACAAAATAACAAATTTTATGATTCCGGTGTGAAAACCGCAACTTTTTTGGTGCGACACCCTAATGTAGATACATACGTATGTACATATATCTGTGGACTTTTGGCAAAAATTGTTATTTTCGACCTGTAACCTTTTAATAATTATTTTTTAAATTTTTTTTTATGCATATTTATTTTAAAAATTGTTTTAATGAATATGCTTTGATTAATATATCATGTTTTTTCCAATAGTCCACAGATACACTGCGTTTTAACCATCATTTTGAAGAAATTTTTATTTTAAGTATCTTAGTTCCGAATTTAGGAAATGGACATCTGGTGATCGATCGCGATCAATGGGGCGCCTCGGAGTTGGCTAAAAATTTGAAAATACCACTTAAACATCCAATACCATATGTACTCATCACACACATAGGCGTCCAGTCGAAACCATGTGAAAATGTATACAGATGCTCGATTAAAATGCGTACAATACAAGACTCAGCAATTGCGGAAAAAAATCTACCCGACATACAGGCGAATTTTTATGTGAGTTGCATTTAGTTATATAAGCTACTTATAAGTTATGAAACTATTTTGACTTACTATTATTAGTGTTCGTCACCAGTATTTTTGCTGTGAAATCAAGCCAGTAATTTATTTTCCCCATGTTTTTCCAAATTGCTGCCACAATTGCAGAAATAGCATATACATACATATGTACATATTTATTAGGGTCTTCGATTATTCGGCTTTTTTTCCAAAACGGGTTTTCGAGTTATGCGAAATATGGCAATTTTAAAAAAATCTTTTCCCGATTTTGAAATTAAAAAAAACCGAATAAATCGGTTTTATTTTACATAGTTTTCATATAGCGCAAATGGTTATGTTTTTATGAAGTCAAGACCAAACACTATTAACTGTAAATATAGCTTTTACTTAGAAAATAGTAAAAAAATCAAGCGTAAAAAAATACAAATCAGTGAAAAATTCACGTCTGGTCCTATTTCAATTTTTTTTTTAATACTTTATTGCCATTTCTTTTTACTTCTTTTTTAAGTTTTTTTTTCAAATAGCGGTCTCCAGTGATCGGACGTCTACCAGATTGTGGTAGATCTACCAGTCTTTGGAGCATGCACCACATCTACCACACAAAGTCTGAAATCTACCACATATTCGCATTTTTGAGTAGTTATAATTTAGCTCCACATGATTTTCTTTATTTTTTTAATTTTAAGAGCAGTACTCATTTAAAGTATCGCTGTAAAAACATGGGGTGCCCATCAATATCGCAATAAAAAGACTTGATATTCCAAGCATCGATACAAAATTCAAAAAATTAAATCTGAATATTGGTCTCATTTTCTATTAAAGAATTAACACTTTTCCCTTAAATAAGTACATCACTGAAAGCGCGCCACATTCCAACCTAAGATAGTACACATTTATGCGCGTTAAAGTGCAAAATATATCCATATTGCTTTACATATAAATTCCAATGTAAGTAAGGTTATACATAAGTATGTAGTACGACATAGATTTGTTAGAAATGGAATCCTAGCTTAGGCTCAAATTCATGTTTTATTTGCGTTAAAAATTTGTTTAAAAACAATATTAACTACAAAACTTTCAATAGAAATTTTAGTAAAATACTTCGGCTGATAAAAAAAGCAGGGCAGATTTTTACATTTAATGTAATTCGTGTCCCTAATAACAGGAATGATAGTATACAAGATTTCCCATTCCCGTCAGCGATGAGATTTCTGAAGTAAAAGTAAACAATGCCGAATGGGAGGAGAAAAGAAACTGTCAAACAGTGACTTTTCTTAATTTCTTAATATTAATATTTGCGTCGGGAAACGTTATTTTATTGTTTGAAATTGCAAAATATATGATTTATAAAAAGAACTAATAAAGAAAATGTAAAAAATCGGCGATTTTTGTGAAAGTATTAGCACATTACAGTGTATCTAAAGTTTTTAAGGCGCTGTTTACTTTTCCTTGAGGATTGTCAAAAGCGGAAAAACCCAAGTTAAATGTTTTTTCTAGAGATTCGAATTAAAAAGTTTTCAGTTAAGGTGAAACCTTGCAGATTTTTTTTAATTTTTGTAAAAAGTTTGATCCGAAACCTGGGATCTACCACATTTTTTCTAAATCTAACACGTTTTTTTCACAGAATCTACCACACAGAATTTTTATTAAGTCCGATCACTGGCGGTCGCCCCTCGGCAAACAACGGCAAATATCCGAGTGTACTTCTGCCTTAAAAACTCTTCTTCGGAGGCGGAGTAAAAATGCTTATTTCTCCATTTGTGTCACATGAAGAAGCAGAGCACGAATTGAAGGAGAAGCTCTGCCAAGCATGTAGAAAACTTTGACGCGCCAAACATTCATTTATTGGAATCCAAATAGCCTAGGATATATTTTAAAACCATTACGAGATTTTTCTTGCACTGGAAAAAGCTTTGAAAACTTCAAAAACCCATAAAACTTTTATTGAGAGGTCAGATGCAATGAAAACCTCGGTTTGCTCGATAAAAAATTTGCTTATACGATATTCGAAAAATCAAGATTTCAAAAAGCCGCATATAGATATCCAAAAAAAAAAAACCGTTGTAATTCGGTTTGCGAAAATCGACTCAATCATTCTAATATTTATGTACATCGTCGATAGGCGCGGAACACCTCGTATCCGCTAAATGCAACCTTACCGTTGAAACTCAATACCGGCGAACGGCGAATTTCGCTCAGACAATTCGCTTACTGAATCACATATAGAGCGTTATTTAGTACAGAAAGCTGTCAAACGATAAGGTGACCATATTTCAAAAAGGAAGCTCGTTTTACAACGAATAGGGAAATACCAGCAAGAATAAGCTCAAAATATGGGAATAGTCTTTTAGTATACTTTTAAAGTATGGTCACCATGGTCTTTTTCACCCGTTACCGCTGACCGCGGCGATAGAAATAAATCTATCGTCGCGAACTGTCGTCGAGCTAACTTCGTCGTTTGATTTGGTTGTGCGCGTTCTCATATACGTCGGTGTGGTTTTTTTTTCACAGCGAACATTCGTCTCGGGTGCAAACAGGTCCTTCTGTACTTGGTCCGTCCATTTCGTTCGGGAGTGCCCTTGATTTCGTTGTGATTCCATGGGAGCCGAGGCGAAGGATCTTTCAACTTGAACGTCGTCATCTATGCGTACAACATGCCCAAGTCAGTGCAATTGTATTTTTAAGCGCTTAAGTTTGTCATATAGTAAGGCTGGGAATATGCGTATATTTGGAGATGCGGAAATCCGTTCGGATATTCATGTATACGGATCAAATCCAGATATCCGGTAAATATCCATTCAATTGGCTACCCGGATATTCTAGACAGTATTTCATTGGTGAAATTGTTTTCTGAAAATTACAGAGTCCATCAATTGGCTAAATAAGTAATAGAACTCTTCCTTATTCCACAAACAATTGTTATACATATCCGAATACTCGGTTAATATGCATTAATTTTGTTATCCGAATATTCGTGTATCCGCATGTTTCAATTTTTTAACGATATACTCATATATCCGGATTATCCGAATAGTAAAAAATCCGGATAGAACTTCCAGCCCTACCATATGTGTATGTAGTTGGAAAGCTCAAACAAGTCGTTATTCCATCATCTTTAGTACCCGTCGCCAACGCGAACAGAATGGTTCTCCCGACAGCCCCTGAATCATTCTGCGATTCAGATTGTCAGCCCGTATTACGTTTTCTCACGTCACATTGAAGAAATCCCACCAAACGCCTTGTCGAAACCCTTGTTTTATCTCTAACGGTGCGGGGAGGTCCTTCCCAATTTGAACAGCGCTGAAGGTTGTGCTCAACGTCACTTTACATAGCCGTATTAATTTTGTCGAGATCCCAAATTTAGATATACTTCTCTCCGATCTATCTAAAGTGGCTTTAAAATTTGACGTGCTGTGAATTTATGTTTTAGGTTGAAGAGGCCTGGTCTGTAGCCGTACTGATAATGTAAAATAAGTTGGTTCATGAATGGTTTCAGTCTTTCACACAGCATCTTGTCTCTGCAACTGCGAAAAAACCGTTGGTTGGGTATCCTAACCTTTTAGTATTTTGATGCCAGCAGGTTGAGTCTTCCTGTATTATATGGCTATTTTGGACATTGTTCCGTTAGATTTACAAGTTTTGATAACAGCCTGGCTGTCAGAATAAATAGCGATAGGCCGCACTGGAGGGGCGAGCGGCCTCCATTATGGAGGCAAAGCACGAGTTCACCAGCGTAAATCCCCCTAACCACTCTTTTGTTAATCTTGTACCCATCTGTATATGTAGCCGTCGACCCCGGGTTTAGGTCTGTGACACCTTCACATGCGTTCCTCTCTTTTGGAGCATTTGTTGTTTTAACGGAGAAGAGGGGTGGTATAATCTATCTGTCGTAGGTTAACTGGTAGAGTTTCCGAATCTAAGGTCTCTCCAAGGCTGGATCGTATTTAACCTGGTCGCAGCCGGTCCCGAAGTTTGCCGTAGAGATCCGCAGGTGATGGAATCTGTCCCTGCACTCGTTCGGCCACCACACCGTGAATCCGTAGAAAAGTAGGGGTCTTATTCCAGCTGTGTGCATCCAGTGTACTATGTGCGGTTTTATTCCCCTTTTTTCCTGTAGCCATCTTACTATCATGCCGGGCCGTATTGGCCTTCCTGGAGCGCTCTTCGATGTTTTTCTTCCAGTCAAGTTCCATGTCTAGAATAACTCCAAGGCATTTGAGTAAGTGCCAAACCGTCTATGGCGGGAGGTTTGAATAGAGCAGTTTTATACTTCCTTGTGAAGAGTTTCGATCTTGGTAGGAAAGACGCTAAGTCCACATTCCTTTACCAGATGTTTAAAAGACTTTGGGAATTTTTCAATAACTCACTCTGGACCTCCAGATACACGGAAATGGTGCAACGGAAATGGTGCAAGGAAATGGTTAGGGCTGAAACAAGTGCGTTGAGTGTAAGCACATGGTATTAATTTAACGAAAACTTGCCAATAAAAGCTTAAAGAATATCACTTAGAAAAAGACCAATACAAGAATGAAAGTAAAGATGAGTACGTACATAGACAAAGGAAAGGATAAAGGCAAACGTAAAATTAAAAACAAAAACAAAGATGCATAAAGATAAAGACAAAAATTAAAATCAAGGTAAACTTAAACACTTATACTTATATAAGGGCAAAGGTGAAGCGGAATATGTAGATGAACAAAATGATAAACATAAAAGTAAAAACAAAGATAAATATAAAGAAAAAGATGAGGATGAGGATATCGGTACTATTGGGAACTATTTCCGGATTTTGGAGATTCACGTGACTTATCGATATAATAATCGATATTTTTATCGAATTTGTTATCAAAATTTTTATCGATATTGTTGTCGATTTTGCTATCGATATCTTCGGAACTGATCGATATAATAATCGATATTTTTTCCGATTTTGTTATCGACTTTGTTATCGATTTTGTAATCAATATTTTTAGCGATTTTCTTATCGATATTTTTATTCGTTTTGTTATCGATATTGTTATAGATTTTGTTATCGATATTTTTTTTCGAATTTGTTATCGATATTTTTTTCGATTTGTTATCGATACTGTTATCGATTTGGTTATCGATTATTTATCGATTTTGTTATAGTTTATTTATCGAGTTTGATATCAATTGTTTATCGATTATTTATCGATTTTGTTGTCGATTTTGCTATCGATTTTGTTATCGGTTTTTTATCGATTTCGTTATCGATTTTCTAGTCGATTTTTCTTAAAAATATTACTATCGATTTTGTTATCGAGATTTTTATAGATTTTTTTTGCCAGGAAAATAATTTCTCCCAAAAACCATCCGCCACAAAAATACTATCATTCATTTTCCAGAACATTTACATTAGGGCGGAGTAATTTAATTTCGAAAAAAGTGTATGGTACATGCGAATTCTACGTTCGATTCTAAGCAAAAATGGTGAGCAAACTATATACCAAAAATGACGTTTGTTTTAAAGAAATATCAGTATATTATACTTTTTTCTGAACGAAATTAATTTTTTATCCACAAACTTTTGTGTTTTCTTCATATTTCAGAAACTACTTCTCAAGTTCGTCATATGTGTGTGTGCGCGTTCATTTCGTACAAAATTTTTTGGTAAAATGAAAGATAAATTTCTGCCAAAAAATTTACAATATACTTCTTTTTCTTTTGAAAATTGGGAGAGTCAAACGTCATTTTTGGTATATAGTTTGTTCGTAATTTTTGCCTAGAATTAATCGTAGAATTTGAATTTCTTCACACTTTCTTCAAAAATTTTGCTCCGAAAAAATTACTCCGCCCTAATATACATACACAATATTTGTGGATTTCAAATGTATGTATAATTGATATTAAATATTCAGCTCATCACTAACATAGTATACTTTTACAATAATAAACATATTCAAAGGTCGGTGATGATGGCAATATTTACGTGGGACGTGGTTGGGACTATGCAAATACGTATGCAAATGACACCTTGGCTGTAACATTTATGGGCGATTACGGACGTTATGAACCAAACGAGAAGCAATTGGAAGCGGCCCAATATCTTTTGGCACATGCTGTTACCAATAAATATATTGACTTGGCCTATAAATTGGTGGCGCAAAATCAGGTAAATTATTCAATCAATTCGCTATAATAATAAGTATATATATGTATATATACATACTCCTTTTGCACTTATTTAAGTATCAACATAATGTACATATATGCATAACTTTTTTGAGCTATTATTTCAGTGTTGCCTACTTTATTGTAAACTAATATTTAATGTGCAAAACTTGCGTTATCTCGTTGTAGACCAAAGTCACAAAAAGTCCTGGCGCCAATGTATATCGGCACATTAAGACGTGGTATCACTTTTATCCTTGTGGTATGGACGATCATCCGAGGTGCGGCGTAGAATTGGGTTTGCCAGATGTTTGGGATGGCAAAATGTAGCAACATTTATATGACAATTATCTTATTTACATAGTATTTATGTAGATATATATGTATATGAGTAAGCAATTAGAGATACATAAATTTAAGTAAACAAATAGATTTAATATCGTTTTTTGGTTGTGAAATATTTTCCTTTAAAAATTTTATTACTTGTTATATGTATGCAAGTACATATGTATGCATGAAGATATACATACTTTTTATATATGCCCCTTATTCTTTAGCACGCACACAAACGCATACATACATATATACACATCTTTTTATGTACAAAAATTATTTTGAAACACTGTATCTGCTACATACATACATATAAGCCAATTAAGAAGTCACTGTTGAATTAAATATAATATTCTAATTCGTTTAAAAGATCTTAAATTTGTAGCTGCATAAATAAATAAATGACTGACGAAGAGAAGTGTTTTATTATTAAAAAAGGTAAAATATGAATACATATTTTTAGCCGACTTTACAAAAGAAGGAGGTTATCAATTCGTCGGAATATTTTTTTCTAAACTACCATCTACTAACATGTAACTGTATGTGCACTAGAGTGGTCCAAAATAAGTATAGTTGGAATTTTAATTCTCCCACCCCCTAGGATTGTTCTATATCGAAAAAAATTTACCACTGTTTTTTTTTTTTTTTTTTTAAATAAAAAAATATTTAGAGGTCGCTCAAAGTGCTCAAAGTTTTCCAAGTATTTAATATGGGAAAAAACAACTTTTCGTAGAAATGCAAGTGTTTAATGATTTTTGGAGAGTTATAATTTGCTGCCATTAGGGTTGTAGGTTAGAGTGGTTGTAAGTAACAAGGTTCTTGAGCTCAGTGAACTTTGGAACAAAACAATGTATCCTCGTGACAAGAACATCGATATATATCATTCTTAAGATAGGACTTTGCAAAAGTTTACTGATATTAGGGCGGTAAGGAAACCTTTTTTGTCTGGTGCGGTCTAATGAATATACGTACAAAATCGATTAGACCCGGGAGACATTTTCCTGCTTTAAGCTAATTACTAAATGGTCAACATAACGCAAGAAAGAGAAGATTTGTTAACCTGTTTTTTGAAACGTAAGTATGTATTTCATTGCGGAAAAAACGATTTTTGTACTTGTTACTAATTTCAAACAAAAAAAAAACGTGTTTTTGTTTTTGCTATGGAAGTTAAATGATGCACCATTATTGTTACAATGTACAAAATTATATTGCCACATATGAATAAAACTGAAAGCAACACAACACACTGGTGTTAGTTTCAAAAGAGTGCGAAAATTGTTTTTTGGCCCATTCAAATTTCATCGTTAGAATGAGTAAGTTAGTATTTTTTCTTCAGTCAACAACTTTTTACCTCTCCTAAACATATTTGAGTTTTTATGTATTTATGTATTTAGTTTCATACTTTTAAGCTAAAGCTTTCTTTAAACTCTTTTTTTCGACATCACTATTGAAATATTACACATAACTTTTCGACTTTCCAAAGAGGTGGCAACCGTCTTCAAAAATAATATTCAAACTAAAACCATCTTAAACCTCTTTGGATTGGCAGGGGTGCCAATTAACGCAAGAATTAATTGGAATTAGGAGTGCCAGTTACTGTTGAAATTCGACCGTTTTTCTAGTTTTTTAAGAGCCTTGGAGAGGTTTTCTAACTAAGTACGCCGCTTAAATTGTGTGGCACAAAATTACCTATCAGAAAATATCCTGCTTTAAAACTAAAACGTTACTATAATTTTTTATATCTTTGAGGGTCTTTGGAGGACTTGGGCAGGACTTAGAATTGATCCCATACATTCTCGATATAAATCGATAACACGACAAAAGTTTGATACCTCTATAAATTATGATAACTCGGGTAATTATGATAGCTCCATTTTTTCGAAAGCTATCGACAAATTTCGATAACTCGATATATTTTGAAAACTCCAATGTCTTCGATTCGGTAAATCGAGAAGTTTTAAGTAAATCAATAATAATCGATAACACTATAAGTTTAAAGAACTCGATGCATTACGATAACTCGATAAATTTCTATAACTCTGTAAATCAAATACTGGTATCAAATACTGGTAATTTTGATAGCTTAAAAAATATTTTGGAAATAAATAAAAAAAAACTATTGTGATATCTACATATGCAGTAAAGAAATTTCTTCCTTTAAAATTTAGGTGGCAACCCTATTTAGAAATACGCTAGAATGAATAGTACATATCTTGAGCGTATATGTACTGTGTATACTTACAACAAAAAAGATAAATTGTATAGAATCGAAAATAAGTGGCAACCTTACACTAATATTCTAAGGGTTAACACCTAGTATATATGGAAAGCATTGTTTAAGAACCATCTCTTGGTACCCATGGCTAGTAATTGTACCTTTATTTTCTAGAGAAAAATAAATAAATAAATGTGCGATTCAGTGTAGGTGGCAACCCTACTAAAAATATTCTTGAATTCGGGATTTTTAAGATACTTTCCACTTGGCACACATATTATGATATGTTAATTAATTTAACTTATTTCGAATAGGTGGCAATCTTATACGAGTCCTCTCGGTTGATAATACCTATTTAGATAACCTTAAAATGCAAAACATTATCTGTATACAAAATTTCATCAAAATCGTTAGATCTGTTTCTTTGAACCTTATGGATATATATACATACATATATATTTATGTACAGGAATTGCTCGTTTAATGTATCTAATAAGATTCAATAAATATATATCAATAACTTGATAAATTTCATTAATTTTACAAATTTCGATAATCCCATACATTTTTATAGCTTTTCATAAACATAACTAAGCAATTGAGGAGCTTAAACACATTACACTGATTCCTGTCTTAGCTGGACACCATTCTGACATAGTGCAGAACCTAAATTTTGTGTCCATTTCCAGTCGGCACCTTCGTGGAGTGTTCAGCCGGAGGATTTTTCGCCAACCACTCTCAAATTATTTGTCTAACGTAATGTAATTCATGGAATCGAATGCAATTGTCAACGATGCATTGCTAAGGGTCTAACTTAAAATATAGAAAAAAAATTAGTGAGTTGCCACCTGTTTGAAAATTGCTTTTATAGTAAACTGATAAGACAAAGTAAATATTGCAATATGACCTTTAAAAGAAAGAGGTTTAAGAAGGCGTACAGTCTGAAATAATGTTGTGGAAGCTTGCCACCTGCTCGAAAATTTTAATTTGATTGAATTTATAAAATAAATTAAATATTGCAATATGGTTATCAAGCTATAGATGTTTAGTAAAGTTTACTGCCAAAAATACTTTTGAGGATGGCTACCACCTGTTTGAATTTTTTTAATCAAATTGATAAACTAAATGAAATATTACAATACGGGCTTCAAACTAAAGAGATTTTAGAAAGTTTACTGCCGAAAATATTTTTGTGGCGGATTGCCACCTATTTAAAACATTTTATTCAGTTAAATTGATAACATACAGAAATACTGAGTTACTCCACCTTTGAAGAAAGTGCACGATATATAGCATGGAGTTAAAAAGATTATAAATTAAATTTCCAGGATTAAATGCCTTCGAAAATATATTAACTCAAACTTAAAAGAATAAAGTATGTTTACATAAATCGAAAATTTGTTTGAAAATCTCACTTCATAAAGCTCTTCAATTCTTTTTTTATAAATGAAGCCATAAGAGGTTTGGGGCGGAGTAACAATAAATATAAATACATTTAAGGCGCAGTGAAGCCCGTCGGATATTTGCTAGTAAATAATAATTATAATAATTCCGATGGAAAACAGTGCCGATTGGTTTTTTTTTTTTTGTTATAATGAAGAGTGATGTACCTCAATGTACTACGTATACTCACATGAATTAATAAACAACTTGATTTTTGCATTAAAAACTATTGTCGATTTTTTATTTTTTTTGCAAACATATGTATGAATAGTACATAAGTATGTACATGCGTATGTACATACATAGGAATATCTTTAAATATTTTTATATTCAAAAAATTGAAGCCCAGATTTGGACGGATACCAGGAATTCGCGTCCACTTGCCAATACCCGTTTCAGCTAGTGCCAAGAAGCAGCTTTGTGTGTGTGTGTGTGTATGTTCAAAAGAGCTCAGTTTCCTGATTATTAACAAGACATCGCCACTCCCTACCAATTCGCAGACAACAACTTCATACTTACATATATGTAGAGTAACACCGTTCAGCAAACAAGCCGGCTTAGGCAAAACAACTAACAAATTAACAATCGATGAATTTTTAAAGCTGGAATTTCCAAGCTTTACTTTGACGAATAACAAAGTCTGCTCATTAACTGGGTATTCGTGATAAATCGTTGTTGTTGGGTTTTAAATGCGTTACAGCAATATACATACATAAACATACATACATACATACATACATACATACATACAGTGACTCAAACAAGTGACTACGTGTTAATTTTTTTTAAATTCACAATGTTTTTCAAATCAAATTTTTTTTTTTTATTTTTTTATAAAAATATTGTCTAAGCTTTCACAAAAACCAAATACACCAAAGTTCCAAATTTTATACAATTAATTATTCATGCTTATATGGAAAAAATTGCAAAATCCATCACAAAAAAAACTTAAAAAAAAAATCATAAAAAACTACATAATCAAAAATTTTCTAAAAATTCAGATTAAAACGTTTGAGATTTTGATGAAAATTTGTTGACTTTTATTAAATTTTGTAACTTTGATTTATACAGTTCGGTTAAAGTTTAGACAATACTTTTATAGAAATACAAAAAAAAAATTAACTTGAAAAACATTGTGAATATTACAAAAATAAATAATATAAAAAAAAACTTTTTAATATACAACGCTCTTATAAATGGACTAAAAAGTAGAAAATAATATTTCTCAGTCCCATAG